GTGCAAGTACTCGTGGCCAGTGTAGACAGGTGGCAAGATTTTGCGCAAAAGCAGGCACTTTTGCGCAAAATCTTGCCAATGCAGACACAGTCCTAGTTACCTTTAGGAGAACCCAATAAATATGCACCTGGGTAAGTGGAAGGAGAAAGGGGAAAGGGTCCCACTGTTACAAGGAACTTTCCTGGTTTAGACACTACCCCTGCGGAATTAAATAGCAGAAGAATCCGGGTCCTCGCTCCCCCTCCCTTTACGTCGATGCCTGCCTGACCTCTGGAAGTGTTAATTTAGCCCTGCCCCTCAGTGTCTGTGCTCACAAAGAATGACAATTGTCATTGTTGAGATTTAAAAAAAAATCATTCGACAAGGGGGTAGAAAAAAGTTCAGATGAAATTGAAAAGGGCTGTTCTAGCAAAAGCACATTTTGTCTCATGAAACCCTCCCAACATATGAACTACGTCCTGTCACTAACCTCATATCCAAGTATGTGCCCAAATAACCTTTGGGAACAGAGGAAAACCCGCAATCCAGGATGGCTGTAAATCAATGTCACATTCATGAAGTGACGTCCCAGACAATCTCAAGTCTCAAACTCCAGAAAATGAGGAGAGCCGTTTTTTTCCTAAAGGAGCTAAACTTGCCTCAGTGTTTGGTCATCATGGTAGTAAGAAAAGTTTTACCATCATCATAAAATAACCCAAACAAACCAAGCAGAATCACAGCTACAAATGATCTGGAGTCATCTAGACAAAAACTGGAAGCAGTTCTACCAAGAGGTGGAAACAGGGCTTTAAATCAGACAGATTAAAACATGCCATCTGGTTCATTTGGATTCCCTTCCAGGGCTGGGCCACTTTCTTCTCCCGCCCTCTGAAGTCTGACCTACAATCACAGGCCTAATCTATACTAGGACATTGCACTGAATTTAGCCATGCACAGTCAATTATCTAAAAGTGATGCATTTGCTCTACCCATCCTGTTGGGGCGCTGACGTTGTGACGTAGTGGGGGTACTTGCTGGGCTGTGGTGACCCCTGCTGTCTGGAGCAAGACCCAGCAGGGAAAACCTCACTAGGCAGAGGTAAGGCCAAACTTGTTGAACCAGGGGCCAGACACCCCCCATGGAGAGGAACAAAGGAAGGTGAATGCGGCCCTGGCTGGGGGGCAGGGCTGGAAGTGGGTTAGTTGGTTGGTGGCTGTCTGGGAGGATGGATGAGACAGCCTAGGGAGAGGAGCTGGAGTTTAGGGGCCCAGTCTCCCCCATCGGTTCATTTGGATTCCCTTCCAGGGCTGGGCCACTTTCTTCTCCCGCCCTCTGAAGTCTGACCTACAATCACAGGCCTAATCTATACTAGGACATTGCACTGAATTTAGCCATGCACAGTCAATTATCTAAAAGTGATGCATTTGCTCTACCCATCCTGTCGGGGCGCGTTGCACTGAATTTAGCCATGCACAGTTGATTAACTAAGTGATGCATTTGCTCTACCCATCCTGTCGGGGCGCTGACGTTGATCCTGTATTTCTGCTTTTCAGCAGGGGTGACGCTATTTCAGACTCTGCATGGTCAAAGTGACCCTAGTGTAGATGCATTAATGGAAATTCAACAACATTGGCCGGGCGCGCGGCTCCTGATGGCAGCTGTAAGGGACGCCGCATGCCCCTTACAGCTGCCATCAGGCGCCCCCCGTCGGTTGGCGCCCTGGGCAACTGCCCGGCTTGCCCACAGTATCTGAGTAGTTCTGGCCCATAAGGGAGAAAATGTAAAAATCCAAATGGCTTTTCAGGAGGCCCCGCCCAGAGTTATGTGAGAGTATCAGAGAATGAGACAATCTGGCCCCAAGGGAGGAAATCAGGTTTGCCCCCAGTCTGCCTATTAATTGGCTCTGCTGTGAAGCTTCCCGGCCTTGGCCTTCCTCCCAGACAGCTCAGTTTCACATCAGATGGTTACTGAAAACCTTGTTCATCACAAAGAATTTTGCCAGTGCCAAAGGATCAGACGCATCACCCGCCAAGTTAACGGGGCAATGAACAATTCAGTTCTTACCCAAAGAAGCACTCACAGCCCATTCTTATCAACTCAACCCAGATTTATTGAAAGACAGAATATTGGTCACGGGATCATTGCACACAGAGACAGGAACAGAATCCGTAGGTCAGGTGCACTGTGGAGATGTTGCTTTAGAATTTCCCGAAGCCCTTTTCAGAATCATCCATTCTAGGGGTAGTTCAGTGTCCAAATAACTGGGCAGTCCAGATGGGAGGGGAGAGCTCAGTCTTACAGCCCCAATGCCCCCCAATGAAGCTGAAGAAGGTCTGAGATAAAAGGATCAGGTGCTAAGAGCTTTTATAGATGTTTTTTGCAGCCTCTCAACACCAGGCATCCTTTAGGGGACCAACACGTGTTGGAAGTATCCTATTTCCTACCCATCACAGGGAATTCGACTACATGGATTCACACAATGATCCATAAAGCCGTTGATAGGCAGGTTACCATAAACTTTCAAGAGAGAGATGTACATACAGTGACATCATCACACCCAAGTATAACCCAAGGCTGTGTCTAGACTGGCCAGTTTTTCCGGAAAATCAGCCGCTTTTCTGGAAAAACTTGCCAGCTGTCTACACTGGGCACTTGAATTTCCGCAAAAGCACTGACTTCCTACTGTAAGAAATCAGTGCTTTTTGCGGAAATACTATGCTGCTCCCGTTCGCGCAAAAGGGCTAGTGTAGACAGCTCAGATTTGTTTTGTGCAATAAAGCCCCGATCGCGAAAATGGCAATCGGGGCTTTTTTGCACAAAAGCGCATCTAGATTGGCCAGGGATGCTTTTCTGCAAAAAGTGCTTTTGCGGAAAAGCGTCCGTGCCAATCTAGATGCTCTTTTCCGAAAATGCTTTTAACGGAAAACTTTTCCGTTAAGAGCATTTCTGGAAAATCATGGCAGTCTAGACGTAGCCCAAGTGTTAATATTTCCTTTTGACTTGTGAATTAACAAAATACATTCCTAGACAGCAACAAGAGATAGGTAAAAAGGGACTACTACAACTAGTAGCTTCTAGGGTGGCAAACAATTAAAAAATGAACGGTGATGTATGGGGCGGTTAAACAATAATCGAATACCATTTCTTTCTAACTTCTAGTTAAAAAATGAACAATTAAAAAATGAATGGTGATGTATGGGGCGATTAAACAATAATCGAATACCATTTCTTTAAATATTTTGGGATGTTTTCTGCATTTTGAAAAATACTGATTTCAACTCCAACGCAGAATTCAAAGTACAATGACTGTTTTATATTTCTCTTTCACTAGCCTATTTCACTGGCATTGTTCAGGTTCTGAAGGAGGGGCTCAGGGCAGGGCCTTGGGGATGCAGGAGTCAGCGCTGGGGGGATGAGGAGGGGCTCTCACACTTGTCTGAATTCTCAGATAGACTCTTACAATACTAGAACTGGTGTCTTCTGCCCTCATGGCAGGACCATGTACCATCCAGATGAGATGTTCATCTAACCTGCTCTTAAAGATCTCATGATAGAGATTCCTGAACCTCCCTAGGTAATTTATTCCAGTGTTTCACCCCCTTGGCAGGTAGGACGTTTTTCCTAATGTCCAGTCTAAACCCCCCTTGCTGCAATTTAAGCCTCTTGCTTCTTGTCCTATCCTCAGAGGTCAAGAAGAACAATTTTTCTCCCTCCTCCTTGTAAAATGTTTTTAGGTACAGTACTTGAAAATTTTATTCACATCCCCTCTCAGTATTTTCTTTTCCAAACTAAAAACTCCCAATTCTTTCAGCCTTCCCTCCTAGGTCATGTTTCCTAGACTTTTAATATTCTTTGTTGCTCTTCTCCGGACCTTCTCCAACTTTTTCTTGAAGTGTGGTGCTCGGAACTGGACACGATATTCCAATTATGGCCGAATCAACGTAGAATAGAGCAGAAGAATGGTTTCTCGTGTCTTTCTCACAACACTCCTGTTAATGCAGCCCAGAATCATGCTTGCTTTTTTTGCAACAGCGTCACACTGCTGACTCATATTTAGCTTGTGATCCACTATGACCCCTAGATCCATTTCTGCAGGACTCCTTTCTAGATAGTCACTTCCCATTCTGTAGGTGTGACACGGATTGCTCCTCCCTAAGTGGAACACTTTGCATTTGTCATTTTTATACTTCATCCTATTTACCTTAGACCATTTCTCTAGTTTGTCCAGATTATGACCCTATCCTCCAAAGCATGTGCAACCCCTCCCAGCTTGGTATCATCTGCAAACTTCATGACCGTCCTCTTTTTGCCATTCTCTAAATCATCAATGGAGATATTGAACAGAACCAGTCCCAAAACTGATCTCTGTAGAACCCCACTTGTTATGCCCTTCCAGCAGGATTGTGAACCATTATTAACTACTCTCTGAGAATGGTGATAGAAATGTAGCCGTGTTAGTCTGGGGTAGCTGAAGCAAAATGCAGGACAATGTAGCACTTTAAAGACTAACAAGATGATTTATTAGATGATGAGCTTTCGGTTATTCAAACAATTATGCACCCACCTTATAGCAGCCCCATCTAGATTGTATTTCCCCAGTTTATTGATAAGGACATGTGAGTCCGCATCAAATGCGTTAGTAAATTTAAATTCCTATGGTGACAACATTTTCTAAACCCAAATCAGTGACAAGTCAGCCACGTGCCCTGACCCTGTCAACCACGCCCATCTGCCACAAGAAGTCCCATCCCTGGAGGTAGTACTCCCGGGGTCAAGGAGGACACATGACCGGCAGTAAAGCGAGTCGTGTGACCCCTCTAAAAAGTCCTCCCACTGTCCTCTACCAATAGGGAGGGGTTTGGGCCCCATAAGAACCCCCTATACAAGTATGCTGCAATTGCATTAACACAACTTGCATTGCATTAACTCAGGGGGAGAGGCCGGAAGTGCCTCTATTTCAGTGGTTCTCAGCTCCAATGCGCAGTAATCTGGGAGCGGCTCCGCCAGGTTCTGCCTTGGACTTGCCCCCCCCCCAGTAGCAGTGGCGGGAGCCGGCGGCGACGGTGCTAGCAAACAGCACATGGAGGAGAAGGAGTTGCAGCCGGGCCGGGGGAGCCATTTCTTGGTCGCTTCTTCCACTGCCCATCAAATAGTGAAATGTCCGGCAGGGTTTTCCGGGACATTTCACTAACTGATGGGCACATTGGGACAGAGTATTTAAATTCGGGACTGTCCTGGAAAATCAGGGACGTATGGTCAAAATAGGTATAGCACGTCCACCTCTTCACCCTTATCCACAAGACTTATCCTATCAAAGCAAGCTGTCCGATTGCTTTGACGTGATTTGTTCTTTACAAATCTATTCTATACAAATATCTATTTGTTCTATACAAATCAATAAGGTGTTACCGGTCACCTTAGAATCATAGAATAATAGGACTGGAAGGGACCTCAAGAGGTCATCGAGTCCAGCCCCCCGCCCTCAAGGCAGGACCAAGCTCCGTCTACACCATCCCTGACAGATGTCTATCTATCCTGTTCTTAAATATCTCCAGAGAGGGAGATTCCACCACCTCCCTTGGCAATTTATTCCAATATTTGACCACCCTGACAGTTAGGAATTTTTTCCTAATTTCCAATCTAAACCTCCCCTGCTGCACTTTAAGCCCATTCTCTTAACCTTATTCTCTTCCAGACGTTTGCAGATGAATTCCTTAATTACTGCCTCCGTTATCTTCCCTGGCACAGAAGGTAAACCGACTGGAATGTAATTTCCTGGGTTGTTCTTATAGATGGGCACTAGATTTGCCATTTTCCAGCCTTCTGGAATCTCTCCCCACTTCCATGACTTTTCAAAGATGATCACTAAAGGCTCAGGTACCTCCTTTGTAGAATGTTTTCTCGTTCCCCTTCACACCTGTGTTGTTTGCTTATATTCATCCTTTTTCCCCTTTCTAATGTTGACCCTACACACCTGTGTTGTTTGCTTATATTCATCCTTTGTATTTTGACCTCCTTTCCACTTTTTATACAACTCCTTTTTGATATTTAGACCACGTAAGATCTCCTAGGTAAGCCAAAGTGGTCTCCTGCCTTACTTCCTATCTCTCCTACACAGTGGAATAGTTGTAATGCCCTTCTGAAAAACAGAAATGTCTTCAACTGTTTTTCCTCTTAGTTTTAATTCTCATGGGACCTTACCTACCAGCTCTCTGAATTTACTAAAGTCTGCCTTCCTGAAACCCATTGTCTTTACTTTCCTGTTCTCCCGTTTGTAAAATGAAGAGTGATCAGTTTCTGAAATTATCCTAAGCACTTACTGGGTTTCTCGCCCATGTGGACAGCCTGATATTGAGAAAGGCTTATCTGTTTCTGAAAACTTTCCCACAGCCCAAGCAGTCCATATGAAAATTTTCCCATAGTCCAAGCACATATGGGATTTCCCTTCTGGATGGATTCCTGATCCTTACGATAACTTGACCTCCATATCAAACTTTCCTAACACTCCGATCACTCACGGGGTCTCTCTCTTCTGTGGATCCTCTGAAGAGTTATAACATTTCATCTTCCTGTGAAACGCTTCCCACATTCCAAAAACCAATGGGGTCTCCTTCCTTTGTGGAGTACTTGATGTTTACGAAGCTCTGACTTCCACATGAAACTTAGTGCACAGATTAAGCGTTGATGAGGGTTCTCCTGTTTGGATGGCCTGATGACCAAGAAGGGTTGAGTTCTACATGAAGCTTTTCCAGTTGGAGAACTTATAGGATCTTTCTACAGTATGGATTTTCTGATGTAAAACCAGGGCTGACCTTCATGTAAAATGTTTTTCCCATTGTCAAAGCAATCATGAGGTGATTCTCCTGTGCGCATTGCCTGTTCTTTAAGAATGTTAGACGCCCATGCAAAACATTCTCTACAGCTTAACACTTACTGTTTCTGTCTCCTGTGTGGATTACCTGATGGTTAATGAGGTCTGACCGCCGTATGAAACTTTTCCCACAGTCTAAGCATTTATGGGGTCTCTCTCCTGTGTGGATTACCTGATGGTTAATGAGGTCTGACCGCCGTATGAAACTTTTCCCACAGTCTAAGCATTTATGGGGTCTCTCTCCTGTGTGGATTACCTGATGGTTAATGAGGTCTGACCGCCGTATGAAACTTTTCCCACAGTCTAAGCATTTATGGGGTCTCTCTCCTGTGTGGATTACCTGATGGTTAATGAGGTCTGACCGCCGTATGAAACTTTTCCCACAGTCTAAGCATTTATGGGGTCTCTCTCCTGTGTGGATTACCTGATGGTTAATGAGGTCTGACCGCCGTATGAAACTTTTCCCACAGTCTAAGCATTTATGGGGTCTCTCTCCTGTGTGGATTACCTGATGGTTAATGAGGTCTGACCGCCGTATGAAACTTTTCCCACAGTCTAAGCATTTATGGGGTCTCTCTCCTGTGTGGATTACCTGATGGTTAATGAGGTCTGACCGCCGTATGAAACTTTTCCCACAGTCTAAGCATTTATGGGGTCTCTCTCCTGTGTGGATTACCTGATGGTTAATGAGGTCTGACCGCCGTATGAAACTTTTCCCACAGTCTAAGCATTTATGGGGTCTCTCTCCTGTGTGGATTACCTGATGGTTAATGAGGTCTGACCGCCGTATGAAACTTTTCCCACAGTCTAAGCATTTATGGGGTCTCTCTCCTGTGTGGATTACCTGATGGTTAATGAGGTCTGACCGCCGTATGAAACTTTTCCCACAGTCTAAGCATTTATGGGGTCTCTCTCCTGTGTGGATTACCTGATGGTTAATGAGGTCTGACCGCCGTATGAAACTTTTCCCACAGTCTAAGCATTTATGGGGTCTCTCTCCTGTGTGGATTACCTGATGGTTAATGAGGTCTGACCGCCGTATGAAACTTTTCCCACAGTCTAAGCATTTATGGGGTCTCTCTCCTGTGTGGATTACCTGATGGTTAATGAGGTCTGACCGCCGTATGAAACTTTTCCCACAGTCTAAGCATTTATGGGGTCTCTCTCCTGTGTGGATTACCTGATGGTTAATGAGGTCTGACCGCCGTATGAAACTTTTCCCACAGTCTAAGCATTTATGGGGTCTCTCTCCTGTGTGGATTACCTGATGGTTAATGAGGTCTGACCGCCGTATGAAACTTTTCCCACAGTCTAAGCATTTATGGGGTCTCTCTCCTGTGTGGATTACCTGATGGTTAATGAGGTCTGACCGCCGTATGAAACTTTTCCCACAGTCTAAGCACTTGAGTGTTCCCTCTCCTGTGTGCATTCCCTGATGTTGAATAAGCGCAGACTTCCTTTTGAAATTTTTCCCACACTCTAAGCATTTATGGGGTCTCTCTCCTGTGTGGCTTTTCTGGTGTAAAACAAGGGATGACTTCTGTAGGAAACTTTTCCCACAGTCTAAGCACTTGTGGGATCCCTCTCCTGTGTGGATTCCCTGATGTTGAATAAGTGCTGTCTTCCTTATGAAACTTTTTTCACAGTACAAGCACTGATGGGGTCTCTCTCCTGTGTGGCTTTTCTGGTGTAAAACAAGGGATGACTTCTGTAGGAAACTTTTCCCACAGTCTAAGCACTTGTGGGATCCCTCTCCTGTGTGGATTCCCTGATGTTGAATAAGTGCTGTCTTCCTTATGAAACTTTTTTCACAGTACAAGCACTGATGGGGTCTCTCTCCTGTATGACGTGCCTGATGTTTAACAAGGCCAATCCTCCGTATGAAACTTTTCCCACATTCCAAGCACTTATGTGGTCTCTCTCCTGTGTGGATTGCTTGATGGTTAACAAGATCCGATCTCCATTTGAAAGCTTTTTCACACTCCAAGCACTTATGGGGTCTGTCTTCTGTGTGGACTGCCTGATGTTTAAGAAGGTGTCTCCTATGTATGAAACTTCTCCCACACTCCAAGCACTTATGTGGTCTCTCTCCTGTGTGGATTACCTGATGTGAAACAAGAGATGTCTTCCAAATGAAACCTTTTCCACAGTCTAAGCACTTATAGGGTCTGTCTCCAGTGTGGATTTTCTGATGAGAGAAAAGGGATGACTTCTCTGTGAAACTTTTCCCACATTCCAAGCATTTATGGGGTCTCTCTCCTGTGTGGATGGCCTGATGTTTAATGAGATCTGACCTCTGTATGAAACTTTTCCCACACTCCAAGCATTTATGGGGTCTCTCTCCTGTGTGGATGGCCTGATGTTTAATGAGATCTGACCTCTGTATGAAACTTTTCCCACACTCCAAGCATTTATGGGGTCTCTCTCCTGTGTGGATGGCCTGATGTTTAATGAGATCTGACCTCTGTATGTAACTTTTCTCACAGTCTAAGCACTTATGAGGTCTGTCCCCTGTATGGATTTTCATATGTAAAACAAGGGATGACCTCCATTTTAAACTTTTCCCACAGATTAAGCATTGATGGGGGCTCTCTCCTGTGTGCATTTTGTGATGTGAAACAAGGGCAGATTTCCGTTTGAAAATTTTCCCACAGTCTGAGCATTTATAGGGTCTCTTTCCAGTGCGCACTGCTTGAGGTTTAACAAGGACTGATCTCTGCCGGAAAGTTTTTCCACAATCGGATCTCTTATGGGGACTCTCTCCTAGGTGGACGGCTTGATGTTTAATCAGGGCTGATCTCCGTTTGAAACATTTCCCACACTCCACACATTTATTGGGGCTTTCTCCTGTGTGGGTTTTCTCAGGGGTCCTCAGGGCTGACTTCCAATTCAGAGAGTTCCCTCTCTTACGGCACTGAGAGCCTCTCTCTCCCATTTGGCTTCTCCCATCAGTATTAAGATCTGAGCTGCTATTGATGCTTTCCCCATGGTCCAAGCATTGAAGGGGTTTCTCCCCAGCACCTACTGTCTGCACTGTAATAAGCTCTGGGCTCACAATAAATCCCTTCCCATATCTGAGCCATTCCTGGTGTTTCTCTTCCTTGGGGTTTCTCTGCTGGGCTGTGGGATTCTTGCGTCCTTCTCCGCATTTAAGAGATTCATCCATTTGCTCACTTGGGTGGTTTCCTAGCAGCCTCTCCGGCCTGGGCCAGTTTCCCCAGGCTTCTCCCTGTTCCAAGCACTGGGAAACATTCCCTTCAGCTCTTCCCACAAAGGTCGCCTGCGGTTCCATCTCTCCTGGATCTTCCTCATATTGAGTCTCTTCCTCCTTTATAGGATCACCTGCTGGGAAAGAGACAAAGAGGCAGGAGTCATTGAGCTGGGGAGAAAGAGGAGCAGCACTAAGGATAACCTCAACACACTGAAGTTGCACAGACTGAATCTTTGGGATTGTGCCTCCGTGTGCGACACAAACACTCACAGGGAAGGAAACTCCGGCCAGTAACAGGACTGCTGAAAGACTGTGAGCAATATCTGCTGACTACACCCTGACTTATATGAAAGGAGGAAGACCCGAGTGTAATTACCGATACCTCATTTTTGGGATTCTCAAATTTTTCCTTCATTTTCCAACTGGTTTCTGTCAGTCCTCACCTGCGCGGGTGCCTCTCAGGATCTCTCTTTCCTCCCCGGCCTGGAGGTCGGGCACCCAGGGCTCTTCCCCTCGTTCCAGCCGGGCGATCAGCTCAGGTTTGGGAACGGGAAACCCTGCGCAGGGGGTGAAATCAGAGCAGATCAGGGCACAGGGAGGGTGGGGAGAGCGTCTGTCCCAAGGGACATTCCGTGAGTGGAATCTGTCCCCGGGCTCTGCTGGGGAATGTGCAACCCAAGAGGACGGGAACATGGTCACTGAGCCCCCTGGGGAGAGGCAGACGTGTGGGGAGGTCAGGAGAATTTTTGCACCCTCCCTAGGAGTTCCCAGGATCTGGGCAGTCTGGGGCCCTTGCTGACACTCACAGCTCTGCAGTTACACCCCTG